GATGGTGCCAGGCTATCAAAAGATAAAGCATCTGGGGACTTAACGGCTTAAAGCTAAGTGAGTGTCCATCTAGCTGAGAAGTACCAAAGGCCACATGGATGAAGCACACCAGCCTGTGTGATCATGAGGTGTCCATGGTATCAGGTATCAAAGACCCTGAACAAAAAATTATATCGATGTGAATGGGGAAGGCTGGGGGCAGCGCAGAGACCCAAAGCCCATCTGTAAACAATTGGACATCCCCTCAAAGAAGGGTCACAAGGAAGAGACAAGACAGTCAGGGTGCAGTACAGCGCCAACGAAACGTACAACTTTCCTCTAGTTCTTATATGCTTTCTGCCCCCCAATATCATGACCCCAATTCTACCTTACAAATCCAGCTAGAAGAGAACTGTACCCTAGTACAGATAAGAGCTTGCAGCACAGGAAATCCAGGACAAATAACCCCCTCAGGACCAATAATGAGAGCAGCAATACCAGGTGGGGAAGGGGAAGTTAGGGAAAGAACGGGAGATCGATCACAATGATAGACATATAACCTCCTCCCAGGGGAATGAACAACAGAAAATGGGTGAAGGGAGACAGCAATTTTTTGTAAGACATGAAAAAAATAATAATTTATAAATTACCAAAGGTTCATGAGGGAGCAGGGTAAGAGAGGGAGAAGAAAATGAGCTGATACCAAGGGCTCAAATGGCAAGAAAATGTTTTGAAAATGATGATGACAACATATGCACAAATGTGCTTGACAAAATGGATATATGTATGGATTCTGATAAGAGCTGTAAGAGCTCCAAATAAAATTATTTTTTTTAAAAACTCAGTCCACAAAACATCCCTATAGGACAAGCACTAGACTCACTTCCATTTCATAGACAGGAAACTGATCCTCTGAGGAAATAAATAACTTTGATTAAAGTTACATCACCAGTAAGAATTTGGGGCTCAAATCTTGACTTAACCCATGAATAGAAAATCACAAAATTTCATGGAGTTTTTTAAAGATTCAGTAAGCTTTGGATAAACAGGTTTGATTCAAATAAACCGCCAATCAGAAATTCCCTTATTAAACACATCTCTCCTTAGAAATCTTACCACAACAATCATTTCATGGGTGTTATCTAATTAGCATCTATCTCTGCAGCAGACATAAGGAGCCCTGATGGTGTAGTGGTTACAAGTTGGGTTGTGATCCTCATTGATTGGCAATTCAAAGCCACCAGCCGTTCCGCAGGAGAAAGACTAGACTTTCTACTCCGATAAACAGTGACAATCTTGGAAACCCCAAGAGGGTTGCTAGGAGTCATCAATGAATCAATGGCAGTGAGTTTGTTTTTGTTTTCATATAGCAGATATAAGAAATCCTGGTGGTGCTCTCAAGTGAGCATTGGCTTGCTAACCATAACGTTGGCAGTTCAAACCCACCAGTCATTACATGGGGGGAAGGTGAGGCTAGGTGCTTCTGTAAAGATTCAGAACCTTGGTTAAAAACTTATGAATCAGAGTCAGTAGTGGGTGATGGATACCAGATATTGTCAGTGCCCTGTCCATCCCCCTAGGTAATTTCTGAATGTCTGGTCCTGAGAGCTCCCCTTCGTACCCTAGAAAGGCTAGAAATGATAAGGAATAAGCATCCTCCAGCAGCAGCCCTCAACCAACGATCTGCTGCAGTGACCCAGAAATAAATATCCCAACTTTTTTGCCTCTTCTAAACCAAAAACCAATGCACTGTTGTAGAGCAGAGTACTACTGTTCATGTGGATTTCTGAGACTATAAATCTTTACAGGAGTAAAAAGCCTCAGCTTTCTCCCATGGGGCAATTGGAGGTTTTGAACCAGGACTTAGGCTCCTAAGAAGAAAGGGTCCTGAGGTATGTGTTACATCTCTCTCAGAACCACCCATGAATGTAAGTTTTAGCTGCTTCTTTTCATACCTTGCTTATTGACTACATTCCCTGTATGTCTTCACTTTCCTGTGCTTCCCAAATAAGCTACTTGCTCTGAAACCCTTGTCTCAGGATCTGTTCCTGAGGTAACCAAGACTAGGATAGTCTTCTATAAGAATATAAAGTTCGGGCAATGAATGTACAAATGTGCTTTACACAATTGATGTATGTATGGATTGTGATAAGAGTTGTATGAGCCACTAACAAAACGATTAAAAAAAAGAATATAAAGTTCATTGGATTGTACATGACTTATTAATCCCTTTCCAAAGCTTGTCAGGGCCTGCTGGTAGGTACTTAGTGAAAAACTGAGGATCAAATGCACACCCATGGCTTCACAGAGCAGAGTCAACCACACATCTGCAAATCGTGGAGAAGTTTAAGTTCGGGCAATCCTGTATGAAGAGGCTTCAAACAGTTCATTAAAAGGTACCATTATCTTTCCATTCCATTTTTCCATGACCTTTTTTGTAGCCTCTTGGTATTTCACTTAGGGAAAATGGGGAACCATTTGGAAATCAAGGCTCTTTGAAGAAAGGCTCCCCGGTGTGGGGTCCCATCTGCCTTTTCTTCCACTGAAGTCAGAATCCCAAAGCAAAGATGCCTTGCTCTTTAGCGTGAAAGCCCCGAGGTTGTCAGCTATGTGACAGACACTTAACAAGACTTCAGCAAGCACTGACCCCAGACAGAACACAGTCTCAAGCAGGCAATTTAGAATTAAAGCCAAATCGACAAGCCACCCCTATAATTGAGAGTGAAAGCCGGAGAAGCTGAAGATATAGTTTGTGGCATAAAGGACAGGCATGTCACCTTTGGAAAAAGTATGAGTCAAGTCGGCATGTCACCTCCCACTGCTAGCTACACAGGGATTTTAATGAAACATTCTTGGGATTAATCCACACCAAAGGCCTGCTTCACCCAGCTCCTGACAAGGGGTAATTTATAGCTTAAAGAGATGTCATAGACTTTAATAGGCTTCAAATCTCATCTTAACATCAGACTCCTTACAGGTTCCAGTTTTCAAGACAACACCTATCTGCCTGCCCGTTTCACTTCCCTCTGGAATGGGTTTGGGGAGCAAAAATATAAAAAAATCCCTTCAGCTTCAGAGCTGGAAAAGACCTTATTAGCAGAGGAATAACAAAATCAAGGGCCACAGTATGCAGGGAGCATGAATGAGTGAAGTGGATGATCAGGCATTGTCAGGACAAGGGGCAGACACACTGGATCCCAGGGTGTGGGACTTCCGTCACAGTCCTTTTTGCCAGGCCGAAGTTCTGACCCAGTGTGTCCAGTTCTTCCCGGTCTTGTTCAGTTTTGTTTGTTTTTTAATAGAAGCTAAATATTCAGGTGTATACACAAACAATCCTCCATTCTTAAACATTCACGATTTCATTTTCTTTTTAATAGTAAAAACCAGTACACAGGCAAGACTGGTATTCAGTCAGTACTCATCAACTCAGTTGTCAGGATTGTTAAAATAATGAAAACCTTCCATGTTAAATTAATAAACAGTCCAACTTAGCTCTGCCCCCCTCACAATTTCCTCCCCACAAACCCTGGAATCCTTGGCCTGCTCCAGAATCTCTTTCAAGGACTGAACCAAAGTCAATGCCAATCAAGTCAATGCCAACTCATAGGACAGAATGGAATTGTCCTTGTCAATCTGTGAGAGCGTAACTCTTTATAGAAGGAAACAGCCTCATCTTTCTCCCAAGGAGGATTTGGTGGTCTTGAACTGCTAAACTTGCAGTTAGCAGCCCAACACATACCCCACTATACCGCCAGGGCTCCTGAAGCACAGAGCACCACAGGATGCTGTGCTAGACCTGTGACCAGCATCAGCACTGCTAGGCTTGGGCAGTGCCTGCACCTTTTTTTGTGGGGTGTTTTTAATACCACTTCTGTGTAGAAATCAAACAAAACACATAGGTTAGGAAAACAATAATGTGTGATAAATAAATGAGAAATGTGGGATTAAAAATTGAGAAAGTGCTAAGAAGGTAACAGGTATAGGGCAGAAAACAGTATCAGGATCAGGGAAGGCTGTCTGTGAAGGTATATGAAAACTGAGACTTGCAGGAAGAGAGGAGCCCACAATGTGGAAAGGGAAAGGGCACAAGGTTAGCACTCTGGGACAAGAAAACAGCACGTGGAGATGAAGCACTAAGAAGGCCCAGAGACTGATATGGTCTTGGAGCAAATGAGTCCGAGCCGGGAACAGTCAACAGGGAGAAAGAAGGTGAACAGGGAGTGGCAGTCATAGTGAAGAATCAAGCATTGATGCTCCATAAAATGTGAAGTCATAGAAACATTCATTTTCAGGGTTTTATTTACTTTTTAATCATCAATGTGAGATGCCTTCAGTCCGTTCTGACTCGTGTACCCCCATGTACAAGAGAACAAAACAATGCCCAGTCCTCTGCCATCCTCACAATGGCTGCTGTTTGAGCCCATTGCTGCAGCCAGTGTGTCAATCCATCTCCTGATGGCCATTGGTTTCTTTGCTGATCCTCTACTTGACTAAGCATGATGTTCTGTCCCAGGAATTTGTCTCTCCTGACATGTCCAAAGTACATGAAACAAAGCCTCACTATCCTCACTGCTATGGAGAATTCGGATTGTAATTATACCAGGACAGATCTACTTATTCTTTTTGACAGTTCCCAGGATTTTCAGTTCTTTGCCAACACCATAATTCAAATGCACCAGTTCCTCTCAGGTCTCCCTCACTCATTGCCATGTTTCATATGTAGATGAGGTGACTGAAAGCACCATGGTTGTTGGGGTCAGTTGCTCCTCTGTCCACACAGTGGAATCTGGGCTCTTTGACACTTTGTTTTTCTAGACTGTGATCTTTATTTTTTTTAACTTTTAATGTGAGTTAGGTGAAGGTATACAAAGCAGATCATCATTTTACATTCACCCATTCATATACATTTTGTTCCACTGTACCATCCATCGCTTATGCCACTTCCTCCCTGTGTTTCCCAATCTTCCTTCTCTGCTAACTTTCTAAATGTTGTCCCTGGGTCTTTGACATTTGAAAGAGGTGTGCTTGCTTCAGCAGCACCCGTACTAAAATTGGAACGATACAGAGATTAGCATGGCCCCTGCACAAAGATGACACACAAATATGAGAAGCGTTCCATATTTTTTAAAAAGAAAAAGGTGTTTTATAGAAGAAATGCAACCAGTGGTTTGATTTCTTTTATTCATTTGTTTGTTTATAAACAGTTTTATTGGGACATAATCCAAATATGCAATTCGGTAGTTCAATCATATTAAGAAGTGTTGTACAATCATTACTACAATCAATTTTAGAACATTTTCTTTTTCTTTTTTTCCTGTTTTCCTTGTTATTAGCTCTCCATTTCCTCCCTACCTTTCCTGTTGCAACCCTAAGGAACTATTAATCCAATTACTGTCTCTGTAGATTTACCTACCCTAGAGTTCATATGCCAAAAATATATACAAAAACACCCCCAAAAAAGCATTAAAAGGATAACAAAATAACAAAATGAAATAGAGAAAAAAACAGTTGGGAAGAAAGCAGAAAATATTAAAAATTAGAACAACATTAAAATGGATCAAAAAGGAGATCAAATGATACGGTATTAGATTTGAACCTCGTTACATCTGTCATATCCCATTTTCCAAAGCGTTTTGTGTGAGAGCCAGGCTATTCCCACCCCTTGTCTATGTTCAGAGGGATTCACTGGACGATTCAGCCATGTGTATTTCCCCTTCACTTTTTTTTAACTGCTAACCCTTTCAGATGTGTCCAAAAGGGGTTCAAATTGATCTCTTACCTCTCCTTCCATGGACATTGCTTGTGGATCTCAGTAAAATGAAATCCTCAACAACTGTATTGTGGATCTGTTTATCACGATGTGGTTTATTGGTCCAATGGTGAGGATTGTTGTTATCTTTAAAGTGCAATCCATACTGAAGACTATACTCATATTCATTGGTGTTTCAAGTCCACGTGGCTTTTGGCAAGTCATATAGTGTCATCTGCATGTTACAAGTTGTTAAGGACCCTTCTCCCAATCCTGATGCGGCTTTCTTCGTCATATCATCCTGATTCTTGAATTGCTCAACATACAGCTTGAATAAACAGTGGAAGGATATAACCCTGACACACACATTTCCTAATTTCAGTATCAGTATACCCTTCATCTGTTCAAATCACTGCCTTTTGGTCTATACATAGGTTCTGAGCACAATTAGCAGTTCTGGATCTCTCAGGCTACAGGGAACACATTTGAATGTCTTTGCACAGTCGATAAAACACAAGTAAACATCATTCTGGTATTCGCTGCTTTCAGTCAAGCTGCATCTGATATCAGCAGTGATTTCCTGTGCTTCACATTCTCTTCCGAGTCCAGGCTGGATTTCTGGCAGCTCTCTGTTAATGTACTGCTACCACAGTTTGTGCTTGTTTTGGGGAGGGTGTGGTTGTTTTGTGCATGTGTGTGCGCGCGCGCGTGTGTGTGTGCGCGCGCGTGCGTGTGTGTTTGAATCATTGCAGGGGGAGTGGATTGTTTAATGTGGCTCTTCTAGCCAGTCTCCAACTCCCCCCAAATGGCCTCTCCCTGCATGTCTGATAAGAACGTGGGAGACATGGTGACCGGATTCACCTGTGAGTACTTGTGAGTAGGATTCCCTGCAGTGTCATCCTGCTGTGAATAAAAGCAGTCGCAAGAGGAGGGATCTCATAACCAGTAGGAGCCGGTAGTGGAGCATGCCCTCTGGATCCAAGATTCCTGTGCAATATCCAGAGGACAGCTGTACCGTGGGAGGAACAGCCGCAGAAGCAGGAGCCATAGCATGGAGTAAACTGATGGACTTCCCGACCCATGAAATAAGTTAAAATTGGTGCTTTTGTGCAGGAAGCTAGCTCTCAGAGTGGGGTGTCTCTGGGCACTTACCTGGGGAAGTTGGACTTGCTGACCTATGGAAGTAGAGCTGCGTGCCTTTGGGTCGAGGCTCACTGAAGCGGGTGCTTCTGGGCACTTAATTCCGGCACGTGGGTTTTCAGACTCAAGGAGCTTGAGCTGAATGAGTGCCTTCAGGTTAAAACATACAGCAGAGCGCTGTGCCCCTTTGAGGGTTTATTAACAGACCAGAAACTTTGTAACAAGTCCTGGTAAACAACAACCCTGAGCATTTCTAACTGACATTACAACTTGTTAACTTCCTTAATAAACCCTTTCATCATGAATTTTTTTGTTTCTGTGTATTTACTGCAATGGATATTAGAAATTAGAGAGATACACAATAGAACATTAATTTAAGGCCGCTCAATTATATTCATCAAAGTTTTCTTTTTGGGTACTAACAATGAAGTTGTTGATAATTTCCATATTCTGTTGAGCTACTTTATTTTAAAATGGGTACAAATACCACCTTTGGCTTTAAAACTCCAAAGATTTGCACATTTCAGTATAGCTATTTTATCTCCTCCAGCTGTGCCCCTTGAAATTGTCCATTTGGCTTTTTACTTTATCATTTTCTCATCTTCTTTACCTACTACTCTACATTCAAGAGCAAGTTTCCAAATCTCTTCTGACATTACCCTGAGCTTTTTTCTATCTTTTTAACGACTTATTTCCTTTCTTCATGTGTCATCTTACTACTTCTCTGGCCTTCTGATACCAGTGTTCAATGTGTGAAATCTATTTTTGAGATGATTTCTAACTTCAGGTGTGATATACTCAAAGTTGTATCTTGACTCTCGTGTACTTTTACAGTTTTTCTACTGACTGAACTTGCATATGAACAATTGATCATCTGTTCCACCATTGAGTCCCAACTTTGTTTCGGCTGATAGCATTTAACTTCTCCATAGCTCTTTTCACAGACGTAGTCAATTTGATTCCTATGTATCCCATCTTGTGAGATCTTATGTGTAATTGCCACTTACGTTCAGAAAAGGTATATGATATTTATATATCATCCCTCTTTCCGGAGATTTCCCCTAGAAGCCCACCAAATTGATACATCTTATTATTCGACCCCCACCCCTCCCTAAGCTTCACAGCTGTAATTTGAATGTTCTCCATAATTTGAAAAATGGCCACTAAATACTTGCCTATTACTCAGAAAATTAACTATCATACATATTATGTTAATTTTGCATAATATTCATCTGAATGAATGTTATTAAAAATGAAAGCAAATCTATGGAGCAGGTGTCCTTGTTCTTAGTCAGGGTGACTAAGGCACCCTCCACTCTGTGCACAAAGTGTAATATGCCCCTCCTGGGGGAAAAGGTGATGATTAAGAAAGACCTCACCAAGCTCCAGAATTTAAGAGCAGTCCTGATTCAGAGTGGAGAACTCTATGCGAACCTGTAACTTGTAGAAATACAGTGTCAGGATTCAGTCCAAAGGAATGACCCAAACCATGAGTGAATTTGGAAAACAATCCTGTTCAGAATTAGTGACATTTACTGTGACCCTCTCTGCCTCTTGGTCACCTCTAGTCTGTATCCTCTTTGGAGCTGAAAAAGATTGCAGATGAAGCCCTCGACTGAGGATAAGAAAACGATCCATTTATGGAGTGAACACACGTACATACTAATTAGGAAACAAGAGATATGCCTGAATGGGCTCCTCATTAAGAAAACCAGATTCATTGGCATTTCTACCAATAGCAGCTTTGTTGTACCACAGTGATCACATTGTAACCTTTCCTGAGGGATTGCTGCCCTACTCTCTTGGCAATGTGGCTCTGAGAGGGAGACTCACAAGAACAAGGGGGCTGCAAAAAGTTCGTTGAAAAATCCATTATCTTTGGATTCCATTCTTCCATGAGCTTTTTGAAGGCCCCTCATGTAAGTGCTAATGTAAACTTCTAGGAATCGAGGATAGGGTTTAAAAGAACTTATGGAAGGCCAAGATTTTGAAACGAGACTACAGAGGGAGGAACCGATGCGGAAGGAAAGCATGTTCTTCTCACTCTCACTCTCCTGATTCATCCACTGTGACTAATAGGAATTGGAAACTAAAATGGATTTTTAATATTCTTTGATGAATAGGTCAATTGAAATGACCTTTTACACTAAATCACTTGAAATAGTGTGCTCACCGAGACCAAATGTCTAAGTATTTCTTTTCAGAGTGTCCTCATCAAGAAAATGAAAAGTCAAACCTAAGTCCACTCTGAATCAAAAAGACCCTGCAGTCTTGACAAGGTTGCACATCTTTCCTGAAGCAGACTGTCGTGCCTTCCGCCCACAGAGTGGGCAGTGGACTTGAAACACCACTTTGGGTAGCAACCAGTTGCTTTAACCAGTGCAGCAGCAGGTATCTTTTCATCAAAAATACTTTCATGATTATATTGTCATCAACAACAGAAAGTGGAATGCCGAATCGTGCATTAAAGGCAATTTCTCAGTGAAGTTTGACTAGTCAGGACTAAAGGCTTGATCCTGACTTCTTTCTGAGTCAAAGCCAGGAGGCAGATGTCCTAACCTTAGAGATGGACCCAAGATCCCAATGGCCATAGGTTGGCACTAACACAGGCATTCTGCGTTACCAAGCCCCTACATATTTCTGAGTTAGGTGTGAAATTAGATAGCCTTTACCAATTCATATTATTTGTTTATTAGCCATGCCACTATGTCAGTCTGGTTTGTGAAAAGATACATAAGTGATTTTTCTACTTTAATTATATTTGGGAAGTTGGGTCTTTCTGAGATCCTTTATAAGGCTTATATCATAGGCACTATCAATGCCACCATATGTCTTTGGGGCCATTTGAGGTCATCTGCAGTTGGGATAAATGGTTCCCAACAGGATGAGAGCCTCCTTCCTCTGCTTCTCCTCCTGAGGATTTTCTCCAGCAACCCTCACGCTTGCTCCACTAAGTAGAGATGTGTACTAGTCAGTCTCCAGAGAAGCAGAACCAATCAGACGGATAACTAGACAGGCAGCTTCTTTTAAAGTGTTAGCTCTTGTGACTACACACAATCCAGAGAACAAGAGGCAGGCTGGAAATTCCAGCAGTCTTGTGGCCTAAAAGGGTCAACTAGCCCCTGGGCCACAACCTCCAGGAGAGTATCTGTTACAGATTTCATGCAGAATTCCTTCTCCACTCAGAAACCTTGGTTTTTATGAATTTTAACTGATTGTATGAGCCCTATCCACAT